TAATAAATACTAATATTACCATTATTACTACTCTTATCAATAGTAGTGACAACAATGAAAAGAATACAAATATTATGAGTATTAGTACTAATATCAGTAGTTCTTGTATTATTATTAAGAATTACTCAGCATGAGTAATATTATTACTACTAGTATTACTATTAATATTGGTATTACTATTACCATTATTATTACTAGTACTAGTATTACCATTGCCATTATTAGTAATAGTAGTAGTAGCAGTATTCGTATTATATATGTGTATGCATGCATATGTATATCAAGGGCTTCCGAATTAATGTATGATTTTCCGAGAAAAAAAAAAAGCACCGCGATATCGATAAGTATCTAGACAAGTTGTTCGATGGATTGAACTGGTTGTCCCGAATGCTGTCCCGTCATTGGTTCCCCACCCACACCCCAACCTCGTTTTCGGTCTCGGCCGGCCTTTATGGGTGTATGGAAGGAGCCGAACTCTATACACCGCCGCTACTTCCAGCCCCGCACTGAACTTCGCACAGAAAACCGGATCCTGGTGAAGACGAGGCCCTGGTGTATACACGTGTCGCTGCCACCCCGGGAAAGCGGGGAACCAAATATACGCAACACCACGCCGACGTCGTCCCCGACTCGCACAAACTCCTGGGAATTGAAAAACCGCCCGCCACTGGTAACGTAGATGCTCCAATTTCCGAAAACCAAAGGCTCCCACCTTCGCGCTTCGCGCTGCGCGAAGCGCGAAGTGCGACTAATTTCACGTTCTCGCGCAGCCTCTCCGGGGAAAAAAAGAGGATGAGGAGGAATCGGAGCCGAACCGCGAAGCGCGCAGCGCGAATAACTTCGCGCCCTCGAGGGCGCCCTTGGAGTACGGATGTCTCCCCTTTTCACGACTCGGAATCCACTCGGGTCGGCTGCGCCAGGATGCACCGCAGCGGCATGCGGGCACCAGGCACCCGACCGCATCGGACGGCCGCACTCTCGGGAGGAGGAGGAGGAAGAGGGGGGGGAGGAGGAGGAGGAGCAGGAGGAGGAGGAGGAGGAGGAAGAAGAAGGAGAAGAAGAAGAATAAGATGAAGAAGAAGAAGAAGAAGAAGAAGAAGAGGAGGAGGAGGAGCAGGGGGAGGTGGAGAAGGAGGAGGAGGACTGAACTGCATTTGAACGCTTACGACCCTGGTTAGATAGTCCTGACAGCAACGCATTGCTCATGAGCAACAGATACGTACGAGGATCTGCGAATAGCACGGGGCTATAGCCTGCAGTCTCGCTGGGGGAAAACCACTGGCCCTGAGCAGGACCGTCTGGCGGGGAAGCGGCCCCATGACGGCCTACGAGAGCACCATCCTCCGGCGGCAGGCTCGCATTGGAAGAGAAAATCAAGAGTCTCCTCCAATTCAATCCTAGGCCACGGCCCAGCAAAGACGACGACGAGAGTAGTACGCTTCGAATCTCACATCCCCCGATTGGTGCTGTAGAATGGGTTGGGTGCTTTGCCTCTGGAGGATCTCTAACTGGGCGTGCCCCAAATGGCCCTGTTGGGCCAACTCGAGCATCCGAATTGAGTTCCGAGTTGAAACAAGACGAGCAGGTTGCCTTATTCTCTGCCTCGGAGCGGGCTGCCGATCAGAGGTCCCGTGCCTGGAACTGCTCGCAAGGGGCGTCGCTGAGCTGCCAGGCGGAGAACTGCTCACAAGAGGTGTCGCCGAGCTGGAAGGCGCCGAAGTGGCGCGCGAAGAAGGTGGGACCAGACAGGCCCCCCTAAGGGAGGGATGAGAAGAATGCTGCGGGACCAGACAGGCCTCCTCTTCGGGGAAAAGGCGGCTCCGAGTGGCCTCTAGAAACCTGCAAGCTCGCCTCAGAATCCTGGCCAGGGAAGGAGACGACCCCGAGTGGCCTCAGAAACCTGCAAACTCGCGTCAGCATCCTGGCCCCCACTCTGGCTAGGGGCCCGGCAAGGGCTCAGCGGGCGAACGGCCTCAGTGGGAATGTCATTCAATCTGCCACATGCTTGGCCACCTCCTCGGGCGCCATGCCGAACTTCTGGAGAAGACGCTGCGCATCCCGTCCCAGAGCTCCCTTCGGTGCTGCTCCCGCTTTGAATTTGCCGCCCCGCTTGCGAATGCACACCCGAAGTGCCGCGTGAACCGCCATCAGCTTCGCGCCGTCGACCGTGACCACCTGGCTCTGGATGTAAGGGCTCATCATGAACTGCAACTTGAACTGGTCCGCCGTCGCTATCCCTGACTTCTTGTCGAACCAGCAGGTTCGAACGCGGCAGTAGCGCACGCGCTCCGCCAAGGCTCTCAACGTCTCGGGCATGACCTCCTTGATCGTCTGGCTCCAGTAGTGATTGAGGACCGCCATTGCTTGCTGCTCCACTCGATCGGGTGCCGACGCCATCGTCTCCACGAAGTGCGCCACCAACGCCATCAATATATGGGGCCAAGGTGGCCCGTTGTCGCGCTGCCCCCCCTGCTCACTGCAATCCGCTGCATGATCTTGCCCGGCTTGCTGCATCACTTCGATGAGGGGCGCGGCCGCTGGTAGAAGAAAACAAGTGAACACAGCGCCCGTGATTTCCGCGAGATCTCGTGCGCTCCTGAGAGAAAGCCTGCTCAAGACTGTGAGCAAGGCCGCCATGATGCCGCCTTCTTTGCCCTTGAGCTCCTGACGCCGTGCTTGGTCCACCACAGTCTGCTCTAGGCGCCGCCGAGCCTCGTCGCTGCCTGACGCCGCTGCACTCGCTCTGCGCTTGCCCAGCGTCCACGTTTGTGCCGACGCCTTTGCTCCCGAACAGAACTGGAAGATGAGTAAAGTTAACTACGAAGGTGATGTGAAAGTTTGGTCGGATCAGCGATCTGAGCCTCACACAACGGACAATCTGAAATCAAGGGGGTAGGCGTGCGAAATGTCGTACTTCTGTGGCCATACATATTCCACTCTGAAATCAATCGACTACGCGTTTGTACGCTGAGTTCCTGGACTCGAAGACGCTATCACATACAAAACATTGGTTGTTGGCCACCGCCATACCGAGTTTAGATTTGAGGCCGCGATAATTGTGTAGATGCACAAAGACTTGCCGTTTGCTCTGGAACCTTCTGAGGCACCCCTGGGCCGTGCATCCACATTCTCCTCTTCAGTCGGGGGCTCTGGGGTCTCTGGAGGCCCCTCAGTAGGCGGGGTCCAGTTGGGCGGCGAAATCCGAATAGTCAGAAGCGGCCCGAATCTTTTTTGTGTCAAAGAGCGTGAACCAATCGATCAGCTCTGGGTCGGAAAACAAGCGAAGATGCTGCCCGTCGAATAATTGCACCATGCTGCGCTCATCCTCCCCGAGCTCTGCCAGAGAAGAAACATCATCCACAAATCTGCGAGCCCAGGGACAGGCAGCCTCGCTGAGACGCGCCTCGCCACTCACGCTGCGCAGGTTGTTGGCGAGCTCGACTCGCATACTGCCTAGAAGTGCTCCCCATTCTGCTAGATGTGCTGTAGGATTAGCCACCCATGTCTGATACCACCTGATACGTCTAGCCTTGAGTTCAAGTTCCACTGGAGACATCTGCCAATAACGTGAAACCTGCACGTTGGAGATCGAAGCCTTGTGACCGTCCTTCTCATTGGTAGTTCCTCCTCTCATTGCCCTCCTCGCATATTGTGGCACTCTAGCTTGCAGCATATGTAGATGTACTGGAGTTAGAATGAATGCTTCTACTCCTGATACTGCTGGGCCCAGGACCCGAGAGAGAGAGAGAGAGAAAGAAAGAAAGAAAGAAAGAAAGAAAGAAAGATCGCGCGCTTCTCGACGGGGGGCATGCCGCACTGGCACCAGTGTCTGCCCACACTATGAAGCCCTGCCTCTATGGAGGAAGAGGAGGACGACGACGACGACGACGACGACGACGACGAGGAATCCGATATCGGATCGGATCGATCGGATCGAAGCTGGCCCAGAAAGCGGAGGCGTCGAAGGGGGGCAACCTCCCGGGAGGGCCAGCGGGGGAGGCTTCGCGGCAGGGACCCGCCGCCTGCCGCGGGCCCCCCTCGGACCTCCGGCGCGGCCGTTTCTATGTCCGTCTTCTCCACGGCGCAGCTCCCCCCGAAGCTCCGGGCCCGGGAGCGGCTTGCAGGCAAGCTTGACTCGCGAGATGACACGCGAGAGGACAGAATTAGGGAGCCACGCGCGAACCCTACCCCTACCCCCAAAGATTTCTGAGGGGGAGGGTGGGGTTCACTTCGCTGGGGAGCTCCCAGGCGAAGTGAACCCCACCCTCCCCCTCAGAAATCGCGGGGGGCAGGGGTAGGGTTCGCACGTGGCCCCCTAACAGTGCGAATGCTCATTCTGGGGACCTTCCTGGAGACAGTCGCTCCACTCGCGCGGCGAAGCTGCATCGAACGTCCGTCGACTCGAGTCGACCCTGAGTCGAACCCAAGTCGAACTTGAGTCGAACTTGAATCGAACCTGGGTCGAACTGGGGTCGAACTAGAGTCGAACATGTCCGTTCGGTGGGCCCCAGGAAGGTCTCCAAAACGAGTATCGAGACACAAGACCCTCCAAGGGCCGCATTGCCGCAGGAATGCAGGAGGCATGGGTTGCAAGACGCAAGACGCAAATGCACTCTTGATCTGGCAGGGTCGACCTCCTAATCCCGGCCGACTGCACCGGTGTTGGATCCAGAACCATGCTGTTGCTGCTGTTGGTCCTGGGGCCTGGCGAGGGCCCTCACAGGCCGAGAACCGCCCAACGCTCCTGTCGCAGACTCGGGAGGCTGCTCCGAAGGTCGGAGGGGCCTTCCAAGAGGCGGGGTGCCTTGACAGAGTGCCACCCCCTGGCTCGCGCCGCTCCCTCCACCCGCCACCGCATGTGAGCCCTGCACCTGCAGGTCGGAGCTCTGAAAACTACACCCAAGTGAACCCTGGCGGGGGTGTCCGATACCCCCGCGCCGCTTAGACCCACAGGGATAGGGCTCGGTAGCAGTCGTAGACTCCATCTGCGGGCCGAGGGCCTTGACCTGCAGCAGGTACATCATCTTGTCCGTGACCTTGGGCCTGTCCGGCGACTCTAGGAACTCGAAGGTCTCCGACCTCGCGCGGATCTCCTCGATCGTCATGCCGCTGGCCTTCAGCTTCTGCGTCAGGCGGGCCTCCAGCTTCGCGAAGCGGGTCTCGAGGACGCACAGGTTGTAGTCGTTGATGTTCCAGACGGGATTCTGGCGGTACCCGTTCGGCGTCAGGTACCCCGGCTGCTGCCACCTCAGGCACACCTCCTCCTCCTCCTCCTCCTCCTCCTCCTCCTCCTCCTCCTCCTCCTCCTCCTCCTCCTCCTCCTCCTCCTCCTCCTCCTCCTCCTCCCCTTCCTCCTCCTCCTCCTCCTCCTCCTCCTCCTCCTCCTCCTCCTCCTCCTCCTCCTCCTCCTCCTCCTCCTCCTCCTCCTCCTCCTCCTCCTCCTCCTCCTCCTCGAGCTGTTGTGCCAGCGTGGCGCCCGGGCCGCGCGAGGAGACCGTGGAGGGTCTGAGGGGGGACCTCGGGAAAAGCCAGGGGAGAAGCGGGACTGGGATCGCCGCGGGGGGAGAGGGTGATGGGGGGAGCTCAAGTGAACGCTGAGCTGGGGTATATCTGGCCTAACTCGATTTTCAAGTAGATTAACAGTGCCTTATACGTGGCGAAGTGGGCCCCGCCCACTTCGCGAAGTGATCTCAACCCCCCTAGGCCACTCGGGCGCTTGCACCCCACAAATTCGCCGGCTCAACGGGCCAGTGGCCAGCTAAAACCTCTGGTAACAGGTGAATTGTATGTCTGGTTCGCGCGCGCGTGGCGGCCCCTGGGAGTCCCCGGACTAAAAGTCGGCTACACGCAAGAGTGACCCTGGACAAGAGTGACCTTTGGTGGGCGGCTTAACGGGGGACGCGGGGGGACCACACACAAGCGCGCAAGCCGCTACTATCGCACCGCACTCGGCGATCGGGGGCCCCAGTGGGAGCGCACTCCGGCGAAAGGTCACTCTTGCGCGTAGTCGAAAAAAAACCAGACGGACCCTGGCCAGCTCCCGGGCGGTCGGTGTCTCGGATGCTGGAAGTCCATGGAACTCCCAGGGGCGGTCTTCGGGGCCCTCAAGATCGCCCCAAGAGCGCCCTAAGGGACTCCAAAGGAGCTCCAAGAGGGCCCAAGAGTCGGGATCAATGGATGGCAGGCCTCCGGATGGCTTGAAAACAACCCCAAGAGGCCTCAAGATAGCCCCAAGATGGTCCTGGACAGGCCCAAGAGGGCCCCCAGAGACTAAATGTGCGTGACTTTCTCTCGGTTTGGGAAAAAATTGGCGTCACCGCCTTTTCGGCTTCCGACCGCCGAAGACGGCCCATGACGCCCCAAAAATCGCACCAGTTCAAACCAAGAGGCTCTCGGGACGGCCCCAAGGCAGCCCAAGAGGGCCCGAAGACGGCCCAAGAGGCCTCCCCAAGAGGCCTCCCAAGAGGACCCCACAGGCTACCAAGAGGGCCCCAAGAGGGGAAATCCGAACTGACATGTCGCACACTTCCCCAAAAGGTGGCCCCCGAGACCGCAAGCAGGTCCCCAAGAGGCCCCCTACGAGGCCTCCGGAGGCGCAAAAGACCCGCCCCAAGAAGCCCCAAGAGGCCCCTGGAGGTCCCAAAAATAATGCCAAGAGGCCGCCGTGAGGCCTCCCAAGAGACCCCAAGAAGTCGCCCAAAGATGCGTCTTGTCCACGACCCAGTTTGGCCCCAAGAACGACCCAAGAAGCCATCGATAGGCCTCATCCTCATCCTTCCCTCCTCCGCCTCCTCCTCCTCCTCCTCCTCCTCCTCCTCCTCCTCCTCCTCATCATCATCATCATCATCATCATCATCATCATCATCATCATCATCATCATCATCATCATCATCATCATCATCATCATCATCATCATCATCGTCATCATCATCATCATCATCATCATCATCATCATCATCATCATCATCATCATCATCCTCATCCGTATCCTCATCCTCATCCTCATCCTCATCCTCATCCTCATCATCATCATCATCATCATCATCATCATCATCATCAGCATGATCATCCTCATCCTCATCCTCATCCTCATCCTCACCCTCATCCTCATCCTCATCCTCATCGTCATCATCATCAGCAGCATCATCATCCTCATCGTCATCATCATCGTCGTCATCGTCATCATCATCATCATCATCATCATCATAATCATCATCATCATATTCATCCTTCTCTTCGCCATCATCAACCATCATCACCATCATCATAATGGTAATCCGAATGAGAACCATCATAATCATCATCATCAGCATCAGCATCATCATCAGAATCATCCTCATAATCGGCACCATCATCAGCAGCATCATCATGTTCATCAGCATCATCAGCAGCATCATCATAAGCAGCAGCAGCAGCATTTTCATCATCCTTCTCGCTCGCCAGGAGCACACCAACATATAGCACGAATGATACAGTATGGGCCAGCGGGTTGCATGAGCGAAGCGACCAAATGATCCAGGTCCGGCCAAGCATAACCCACCTTGGCGTCCACTGATGACGCCCCTGTCCCTTCAGCAGCCCACCGCGGTGGTCCAAGCAGCCAGCTCGGCGACCCCCCTATGTCGAGCCCATGGAGGCCACCACGGCGGGCCCCCGACGCCCCATGAGCAGGCTCTCGGAAGCTCTGGACGCAGACGTCCGGCACGCACGCACAAGCTGTGCATCCAGCAGGACGCGCTGGCACGACAGCCGCGTGAGGCTGCCGAAACAAAAAACTCACACTGCAGCACAAAATCGCGCTGGTGAAGGAGAAGGCGAGGAGGAAAGGAGACCAGATTCTATAACAGAAGGCTGCTCAAATATGTCGAGAACGTTTGCATACTTCTGCAGTCCACTGCTGTCGCGGCCGGCCGCGACGCTGGTGTTCCACCCAAGTTTTTGGCGCACCATCTGGCTGGCATACGATTTGACGAACAAGAGAACCAGACCCTCTTGATATTTTGTGGTGCAGTTTCCCTCTGCCCAAAAATATGTAAGAAAGGGGCTAAGCGTGGGCTCTGTTCAGAACGTCTGAGTTTCTCACTCTTGAAAAACAAAAAACAAAACAAAAGCGGAAGAACAAAAAAAAAAAAACGGCTGCACACCCAAAATGCGCCGCAAAATCTGAAGTGGAACGCATCGATGGTGCGCCGATAAACGTGTTATAGCCAAAGAGAATCCAGCGAATACAGCAGCTTGCCAAGAGTCTGGCGAATACAAACATCCGGCACGTCGCACAACTCGAGGCGTCCGGCTTGTGGCTACTCCTGGCATCTGGGGGCCGGCTTCAGGCCTCGGGGCCGTCAAAAACATTCATCCGCCTGGCGAAGAACCCAACCATGTTCAGGCGTGAGTACTCCAGATTTCGTAATAAAGGGAGGGGGGTCTCATTTCGGGGGGGGTCTCTTCCAGGCTATCTTGGAGGGCCTGGGGGGGTCTGGGGACGATGTTTTGGAGGGTTCTCCCACGGGGGAGGCCTGAAATGGCTTGTCTTGGAGGGTCCAGACCCCCTCCCTTTTACTACGAAATCTGGAGTACCGAAACGCAGGGGGAAGGAAGGAGACGCGGGGCGCTGTCTCCTCAAAAGGAGGGCCCAAAAGCCACAGGATGGCTGGGACCTGCTCGGGAGGAAGGCCCCGCCCCGGGGAAGGGGGGTCGAGAGGCCTGGAGGCCCGGAGGCCCACGCCCGCGCCCTGTTCGGGGCACGGGCCCCCGCCCTCTCGACCACCCTCGCGAGCGTCTTTGAAGGGGCCCCAGGACACACAAATAAATACACACAAATAAAATGATGCCCCATATTTTCCTATATTTTCTGGGTTTTTGTCTTCCCCCCCCCCCATTCCCATATTTTCCCATATTTTCAAGGGAATGGAGGATTAATTGTGTCTGTGTGTTTCTTTCCCTCCTGAGTTTTCTTACTCGGCGCTTCGACATTGGGCGGAAGAGGGGGGGGGTCTGGCTCCGAAGGCCCTCTACTCAGCGCGACCGTTTGGAACCGCGCGCCCTGTGGGGGAGGCTCCACCTGCTCGAAACGGGCGCCAGAAACAGGCAAGATCTGCTCTCATGGAGGAGGGGGAGGGGGTGTGCGAGGGTCCGCGCCGATCGGCAAAACAATAACGATCACGTCCGATTCTTCCCCACGATTTGTTTTTTGATGGTCCCGAGGCCCAGCAAGGGCACCGAGAGGCCGAAAACGACGAAGAACCTCCGTTTCGATTTCTTCGAGACGCTGGATGTCCAAGAAGCGCCCGATGTCGGGGGAGGCTCCCTAGAGAGAGGTCCCTGTGGAGGCTCCCGCGGATGTCCCCAAGAAGTTCCCGCGGAGGTATGCCCAGAAGCCTCCCAAGGAGGCAGGCATCCCTGCAGGTCCCTGGAAGGCCCCGGAGGTCTCCAGGGGTCCCATGGGATTCCCGGAGGTCCGGGGAGGCCCGAACAAGGGCCACGAAACGTCCAGGAACATCGATCCTCGGTCCCTGACCTGCCCTCGCTCGGACGGCCACATCCCGTGCATTTCTCGACCTCGTGCGTGTTTTTTTGTTTGTTGCTCGATGGTCCAGGATGGTCCGCGATGGCTCTCGCCGAGAAAACAAATGCACACGCCCGAGCGATGCCGAGCACTGAGGCCCTGGCTCTGCCACTGCTAACAACACAGGCGCGTTCCCCGCCCGGCCTCGGGCCCCAGGGGGCCCTCGCGGATCGCTCCGGCTCGAAGCAGGGGCGCAGAGAGATCGGGCCTCGGGCGCCGGGCGTGCTTCTTCACCATGCTGTATTTTCCACCGGGTCGGATCTCGGGAGAGGGCCACGAAGCGTCCAGGGAGCCTCGAGCCTCGATCCTCGCTCCCGCTCCCCGAGAAGCTGTGTCCGGGTGCCCCTGGGCTCCGCCGGGCCCCCGGGCAGCTCCCAAGACGCCCACGAGGCTCCCCAGGTGGTGCCCGAGAAGCCCACGACGCCTCAACCGTGGACTCCCCGCCTCTTCCAGGGGTCGGCGGAATAGCGCAAGCCTCTTGAACATCGATCATCGATCCTCGATCCTGCTCCTGGGAAGCTTTGTTTCGGTGCCCGCCAGACATGCTTCTGGTGAGTGTGGAAACTGCTCGAGAGGGCGATGGGTCCCCCACCAAACGACCCCAAAACAGCAGAAACCACACCAGAAATACCCCGAACCTCCAAAAAGCCAACACAGAATCCTGCTCGTCCCTACGAGGGAAGCGAAACTTGGCTCCTCATCCTCCTCCTCCTCCTCCTCCTCCTCCTCCTCCTCCTCCTCCTCCTCCTCATCATCATCATCATCATCATCATCATCATCATCATCATCATCATCATCATCATCATCATCATCATCATCATCATCATCATCATCATCATCATCATCATCATCATCATCATCATCATCATCATCATCATCATCATCATCATCATCATCATCATCATCATCATCATCATCATCATTTCTCCTCCTTCTCCTCCTCTTTCTCCTCCTCCTCCTACTCCTCCTCCTCCTCCTCCTCCTCCTCATTCCTCATCCTCATCATTACCCTCATTATCATCATCCTCTTCTTCATCTTGGTTTTCTTCACCTTCCTCCTCCTCTCCTCCTCGTCCTCCTCCTCGTCCTCATCTTCCTCCTCCTCATCCACCTCATCCTCCTCATCCTCATCTTCATCATCATCCTCAGCATTAGATTATTCCTCATCCTCATCATCAACATCAACATCATCATCGGCATAAGCATCATCCATCATCATCGTATCACCATCAATCATCATCATCATCATCATCGTCATCATCAACATCATCATCATCAGCATCAGCATCATCACCATCACCATCACCATCACCATCATCATCATCATCATCATCATCATCATCATCATCATCATCATCATCATCATCATCCATTATTTTTCATTGTGGATACTTCTCCCTGACACACCCCGAGGCTGGTCGGAAGGGCGAGCTGGGCATTTCGCCGAGACTTCCCTACCACGGATGACCCCGAAGCTTCCGAGTTGGCAACAGTTTCACAGATGGAAGGCGGGTCGCGTCCAAAACGTGGTTCTCGCCTCAGCGCCGCGCACATTCGTTTCAACAAGTTGCAAGAGTTTCACGGATTGAGAGCGGACCGTGTTCAAAATGTGGCCCTCATCTTCGCACAGCGCACATTGGTTCTAACAATATGCAAGAGTGTCACGGATTGACGGCGAGTCGTGTTCAAAATGTGGCTCTCGCCCCAGCGCCGCGCGCATTCGACTTAACAGTTGATCAGAATTTCACGGATGGAGGGCGGTTCCCTTGCAAAATGTGGCTCTCGCCTTAGCGCCGCGCCCATCCGTCCCAAACAGTTGCAAGAGTTTCACGAATTCTCTTGGCTGGCGTAGTACCAGATATTGCGTGTCGGAACGATGTCGGACTGTCAGGGCGTAACGTTACGTTGATTCGCTATGTTGAAGTCCCAGGAATGATGTGTGGCACGATTTGCTATCGTTGAGACGCAACAGTCAGGTCGATTCGTGGCGTTGAAGTCCCAAGAGTGGTGCTCTGACCTGGTTCAGGATGTTCAAGCGGTTGTCTCCCAACGGGGCACTTCCCTTTATGGGAATGAATCCTTCTAGGTGCCTATGAAGAGGGAGCCTGGACGGTATGATGCAGCATCGTTAGTGGGCCTTGGGTTACACTGGTCCTACTCCTCCTCCTCCTCATCATCATCATCATCCTCATCAGCATCATGCTCATCAGCACCATCATCATCATCATCATCATCATCATCATCATCATCATCATCATCATCATCATCGTCATCGTCATCGTCATCATCATCGTCGTCATCGTCGTCGTCCTCCCCATCCTCCTCATGCCATTCCTCTTCGCCCTCGTCCTGCCTTCCTTCACCTCCAACTCCTCCTGCCCCTCCTTTGCCTCCTCCTTTGTTTTCGTTGGTCGGGAATAGGCTGTACAGATGTTGGGTACTTCCTCTACAGAGAACTCAGAGAATGTGCGGTGAAGTCAGACAAGCAATATCACAAGGCAGACTAAGCGGGAAAAGGCGGTGCGAATATAAGGGTCGGAAAAGTCGGGAGGCCCTCGCGGGCACAGACCACACCCTATCCTCAGATTCCCCAAGACCCACCCCCACTGTGAAAGTGCTGCGGCCAGCGGCGGCGCGCTACAGCGAAGAGCCAAGGACGCAGCACCCTGTGCTTTCAACGAATGCGAGAAGGACCGAGAAACAATGCCCTGGCAACGATGCGAAAGGGCCTGTGTAAAGATCCCCGTAATGTTGCCCTCTCCGAGGGTCATGTTTATGGTTCTCCTCCACCACCGCTACCGAGGTTCAGTATCCTACTCTCCTCCTCATCCTCCTCCTCCTTCTCCTCCTCCTCCTCCTCCTACCCCCCTGCTCCTCCTCCTTCTCCTCCTACCCCCCTCCTCCTCCTCCTCCTCCTCCTCCTCCTCCTCCTCCTCCTCTTTCCCCTCCTCCTCATCTTGCTCCTGCTCCTCCTCCTCCTTCTCCGCCTCCTCCTCCTCCTCCTCCTTCTCCCTTTCCTCCTTCTCCGCCTCCTCCTCCTCCTCCTCCTCCTCCTCCTCCTCCTCCTCCTCCTCCTCCTCCTCCTCCTCCTCCTCCTCCTCTCGGATCCTGGCGTTACGGGGCACGATGCCAGAACGTGGGCCCAAGGCAGGTCACTCGCGCAGCTAGCGTGGAGCCCAACGTGCGTGGAACCCCGTGCGTGCGAAACCCCGTGGAGACCCTTTGCGTTTGGCTCAGGTTAATCCTCTCCTATCTCTATCACTGTGGGAGTCTCTGGAGGCCTGTGGGGCCCCCGCGGAGCAAGACTGGGCAACACTGCGGCCGTGCTGGTGTCTCTGAGGGTCTCCTCCTCCACCCTCCCCGCATCCTTAGCCGTGAGGACGCCAATCCCTCCACCGACACCGATCCCGGCCGGGCCGATGCCAGGCATGGGACGAGCTGCTGGCACGGCAGGGATCGGCTCTCGTGGGCATCTCGTCTGCACCCCCGATGCCGTCGGGGCCGCCGGTTGCCACGCAAGGGACGAGCAGGGAAAGAATGGGCACGATGCTCAACAGCACGTGTGATCCGCAATCGCCAGGAACCGCTGTGCAGGCCATTTGTTTCTCCAGTAGACAGCGTCCGCGGCGACACGGACAGCGCGTCCTGTTCAAAAGGGGCAGGAACCGATGTCGGTCTTCGTCCCTGTTCTTTCCGAACCCATTTCGATCGTAGCGAGCGGTATTCTAGGGTCGACCCCCGCCTGGCGGAATTCTAAGGTCACCACCACTTCTTGAGCCCGTCCCGTGGCCACTCGACCCACCTGCCAAGCTCCGAGCTCCAGCCGTAGAATGGCCTCCGACCGCGCTTTTTCGATGACCCGCAGGGTGTCGGAAGGCTAAAAAACGACGACGGTGACGAGGACGCGGAGGAGAGGATAGAGAGAGAGAAGGACTAGTAGGGGAACAGGAAGCGCCATAAGCATAGACTTTCGGAGGTCCGCGCGGATCTCTCGGATCGGCGCGGTGGCCCCCTCTCCCTGGCGCGTGGAGCGCACCAGGGGCGACGACCGAGGCGCCGCCAGGAGGGCCTGGCGCAGACCAACAAAAAAAAAGCGCACGGCGCTCCGAAAGTTTTTGTTTGTGTCGTGATCCGTTCCTCGAATTGGGATTAGGTCGGGCCTGTCCCCTTACAGGGGGATTTTGGACGAAAAATTAAAAATATTCAAAAAATGCCCAAAATATAGCCAAAATTACTCAAAAAATAGTCCCCAGACTATTTTGGGACTATTTCTGAATATTCCCCCTGTAGAGGGACAGGCCCGACTTACAATTAGGAGGAATCGACAAAGAAAAACACGGGCGCGAGTAGTCAGAGGCCCGCGCGGACTGCCTGGATCGGCACCGGCCCGCCCCCTCTCTCTCTGCCTGGCGCGCAGGAGCACGCGGCGCCTGGGGCAAGAGGGGGGTCCAGCGCAGGTCCAAAAGCTCCGCGCAGACAGCCGAAAGATAAGAGGAGGAGGAGGAGGAGGAGGAGGAGGAGGAGAAACATGATAAACCAAAGATGCGTACGGCTAGGGCATTTTATCTCTCCGCGTGCCCAAGCTAAGGTCAGGCACTTGCATGCAAAAGAAAACAAACGGCTAGGGCATTGGATAAGGAACCATTTGATAAGGAATCCAGGGGCTGGAAGCCAGTGAAACTCCAATCGCGGATTGGCCGCGGGTTGCCGCCCTCATCAGACAAGCAATCCCCCCGGGTCTGAAGCCTCCTGAGCACACTCCTTAACCAAAGCCCAAGCCGTTTTGTTTCCTTCGATGGGAGGAGGAGGAGGACAAGAATAAACCAACGATGCATAAGCAATGCTGGAATACACCCTCCCGTCCCAAGTCCCCTCATCACACGCCTCTACAAGTCCTCCTTTTCACTACAAGACGCGCCCCCATGAAATACTAGTACAGTTGGCCTGCCATTTTGGCGAGGGCCCCGCTTTGAAAAGGAAGTACCTTGCGCCTATCTAACACGTAATCAGGAGCGCGAAAATATCATACCTTACGGGTTAACGAGGTGTCCATCGAGATCTCCTTTCGAAGAAGGACCGTTCCCCATCCGTGTAACTACAGCAGAATTTCACATGTGTGGTCATGAACTCCAATGACGTGTCAACCGATACCTCCATCAAAAACATCGCCATAGAACTTAACGAAGTTTCAGGCGAGAACTCCATGTTGAAAAAAACAATCATCCATCCTGCCAGACGTTGCGTTAAAATACAGATGCTCGCGGCGCTGAGGCGAGGGCCTCACGACCAGTGCTCAAGCCTTCAAGCTGTTACAAGGTTGAGACGAATGGTCGCGGCGCTAAATCGAGAGCCACATTTCGAAAAGGAACCTCCATCCATCCATGAAATTAGTGCAAACTGTTAGGACGAGCGCGAGAACACAATTTGAAAACGCCCCTCCCCCCATCCATCCCTAGAACCGCTACAATTGTCTAACACGAGTGTGCGCGGCACGAACGTGGAAGACACATTCTGACAAAGAACCGGGCCCCATGTGAGAAACTGCTGCTAACGTATAAGACGAATGTGCGCGGCGCTGACGCGATAACACGTTTCTGAAAAAAACACCCGTGAAACTGCTACTAAAGTTTAAGATAAATGCTGGCAGCGCTAAGACGAGAGCAAAATCTTGAAAAGGAACCGCCCTCCAACCGTGAACCTGCTGCAAAATTCAAGCTTCAGGATCTTATATGGTGAATACGAAACGCCCGTACCATCCTACCAACACGTCTGGGGGTGCGAGAGGGAGGAGTTGCGCTAAGGAAACAGGATGGAGGAGGAGGAGGAGGAGGAGGAGGAGAGGAATAGAGAGAGAGAGGGGGAGGATGAGGAGAGGATGAAAAAAGGAGGAGGGGGATCTTGCCTGGGTTCGGCGTCCGCGTCCTTCACCCACAGCTCCTTGGGAGATGGAAACTGGCCAGCACCACCGAGATCCGGACCCCAAGGCGGGCCTGCCCCGAACCTCTGGCGGACGGATCTGCGATGTGTGGGCGCAAGAGCTCCCCGACCCCTGCGCAGCGGACGCCTCTCGTCCTGGACCGCCCTCTGATGGACCAGGAACGGACCCGAAGACGGCCCCCGCAGCCCGAACTACAAAGAAGACGCTGGGATCGGGAAGAACAATCCGCCTGAAGCCCGAACACTCGGCATGCACCCGCACACCACCACATTGCCTCGCCAGGGCCACCCTGGGCCATGGCCCCGAGATGGTGCATACGTTGGCCTGAGAGGGCCGATACACCATCCTCCTAAAACGGCCTATACACCATCCTTGGGACCACGCGCCGCCCCGTGATCCCCGCTGGGGCGCTCTCCGCCGCCCTCGCCACCGCCACCGCAACCGCCGCCGAGGGGCCCCCCGGAAGTGCTGTCAAGCCTTTTCCCCAGGACCAGCTTTGCATCCCGAGCCGTCTTGTTTGCGGTCCGGGGGCCCGGCGGGGGCAGCCAGGAGGCCGAGGACGGCGGGAACTGTCCGACCTGTATACCCAGACATCCGCCGATGCGATTTTTCAGTACAAGGCCCCATGGGCCCCTGCTCCAAGCGTACATTTTCGCCCTGGATCCATTCTATAGGGCCCCAGGGCCCGACCAACGGGCCCCAGAACCCAGAATCGTTGAAAAAACTCCGCTCGGGGGCCTGGGAGCATAACGTTGGAGGGTGCCCCCTGCGCAGCCCGAGGCGGCTTCCCTCGCCCGCAACTCCGAGCGGCCGCCGCCGCCGCCGTCGTCTGCCCCGACGCCTCGTCGCCGCCGCTGCCGCCGCCGCCAGTTTGGGGGAACCTTCGAATAAATATTTATGTGTTTTGTTGTGGTTTGTCATGTGTTGTGTTGTTTTGTTGTGTGTTGTTTTGGTTTGTTTTGTGTTGTTGTGTTTTGTTTTGCTTTGCTTTTCCACAACAAACAAAAACTACTCCGCCCCGTGGCAATGAGGGCTCTCCAAGACGAGAAACGGTATGAGTACCTGCTCCCCCTGTGAACCCCGACAACGGGAAGCACGCGGGCGCACGACATCATGAACATTCCCGTCCGAAAGGCATTCTGAAAGCTCTACGCGCCGCCACGCTGGTCCCGGGAAGGCTGTGTGTGCTGCCCGGCGAAGGCCGGACAAGAAAGGAGGAAGCAGGCAGGCAACGACGAACGCGCAGGCGGGAGGCTGGGGCCGGCCAGGCCGGCGGGCGGGCGGAAGGAGGGCTGGGCGGAGACAGCATGGAGCGCTTAGGAAGCAGCCGGGCAGGGAGGGAGGCAAGGAAGAGGAGGAGAGGGGAAGCAGCCCCAGGCAGACAGGCCGGGCCCGGGGCAGGGAGAGAAGAGCCACCCGCGGAGAGGCTGCGGACCCGACGGCGACGACGGCGACCAGGCGGCGCAGGCGTAGCGGTGGAGTGGGCGGTGGGCGTCGGGGGGGAACGTCGTCTGTGGTCGTCGGGAAGGGCCGTCGGGATCGTCGGGGAGGCGGCGTCGGGTGGCCGACCGAGCCCAGCACGTTGCGGCTTGGTGGGGAGAGCCCTCTGCGAGATCACACACCGCCCTGCGGGGGAAGGGCCAGACGGCGTGCGCGGGGTGTGGGGCCGCCAGCGCGACGCCGGCGGAAGCGCGCGGGGGGGCGTCAGTGCTGCCCAGCATGGACAGAGCGATGGGCGGGGGGCGCTAGGCAGCGCCGGGGACCCCTCGCTCGGCGTCCACCGCGGAGGCAGCAGTGGCCGCGGCCAGGCGGGCTGCTGCCACCCCCACCCTTCCAGACTGGAGGCGCCGCAACACCGCCCGCGCGTTTTCCCTCTGCAGGGAGACGGAAAGTCGCTGGGCGCGTTGGTCCACAACCACTGCGGCGTCTTCCCCCGTGGCGTCAGCCACCCGCGTGGCTAGGACCCCGACCTCCGCCGATGTGGCATTTTCAATCCGCCCCCGACGCCTCTCGCAGGGGTGGTTTCTTCGCCCTGGACCCATTCTTGATGCACCCGGGAGCCCGATGACAGGCCCCGAGGGCCGCAGGCAAGGAAAAGCAGACCGTCGAGAAGCTTCCCTCGCCCCCAGACCCCCGACGTAGTGATCTTTTCATGACGTGAACCGTCGGAGACAGCAGGGAGCGACAGGGGCGTCCAAGAGGGAGGGGCACAAATCCTGGCCCCAGGCGTGAGCGCGGCCCATAGGGGGCCAGGGACGTGGTAAGATAAGAAGAGCAGGAGAGCCCAGAATCCAATCGATAAGTCGGATCGGCGATCGAAATGAATCGGATCGGCGGAAATCGGCGGCCGAATCGGGAGAAGTCGAATCGGCGGAAATCGGCAGGCTAGTAGGCCTCCGTCGAGAAATCGGAGCCCAAATCGGAATCCCAAGTCGAATCGAATCGGAACCGGAAACCATCGAAATCGAATCGAATCGGGGGAATCGAGACGAGCCCTGGAAGAGGCGACATGAAAATCCTGGGAGGTATCAAGGCCCCGGCCAGGATGCCTGGCCCCCCCCCTAATCACCACCGCCCTCTCGGCCGCCCCCGAAGTTCGATAGAGGCCTCACAAATGGGGTCCGAATTCTCTGGATGGGGCAATAATCGCCCCCCCCCCCTTGGATCCGCTGGTGGGGTTGGGCACGTGCTGTCGGAACGGGTGGAGGGGGGGGAGGAGGAAAAGGAGGAGGAGGAGGAGAGGGAGGAGGATGGAGGGGGGCGGGATTGGGCAGGCTCAGTCAGGAAGTTAATCACCCCCCCCTTGATACAAAAAAACCATGCAGAGTAGATGGGGTCGGAGTGTAGCGCCGCATCGCCGATGCATCGCCGATGCATCGGCGACGCCCGCGGTTCATCGCCGACTGAGAATATCGGGCTGCACGAGGAGCCGCGTCGCCGATGCATCGGCGATACGCGGCGCGATCCTCCGACCCCCCTTCTGGGAGGCCCAGATGACTACCTACCAGACCACCCCAACCCAACCCGAAGACCCGAATTTCGTGCGCATTTCGGGTTGGGGGGGTTTACAGGTTGTTCCATATGTGTTCTTTCGGTGCTCCTCGAGCCCCCCCCCCAGTGGAATTGGAGGTCAGCTTGAGGCCTTCGGGTTGGGTTGGGTTGGCTGGGTGGGTGGTGACCATCTGGGAGGCCCAGAGGTGAGGGGCAACGATAGGGGGGGATGGGCAAAGGGGGGGGGGGGGCATCGACCTGGAATCGGTGATACATCGTCGACAGATCGGCGATAGGCCTCCGATAGTGATTCCGCACCTTCCTGGGCAGGCTGGGGCTATCGGGCCCCTGTCGGCGATCAGTGGGCGATTGGGGGTCCATGCCTATCCCCCCCTGTGCCTATTCCCCCCCTATCGCTGCCCCTGGAGAGGGCTCGAAGCCCGCAGCTCCGAGCCGCCGGGCAGGTTGTCCGGGCAGCGCCGCGACCTGCCCGTGGCCCTCGCGGCCCGGGCGACCCGTGGCGCGGGCAGCGCGTGGCGCGGGCGGCCCGCCTCGCCGGCGAAGGCCTCTCGGGCCGCGCCGTCGCGGGGGCGCCGAGGCCGTCCACGACGGTCGTCGCCGTCGTCGTCGTCGTCGTCGTCGTCGTCGTCGTCGCCGCCGCCGTCGTCGCCGTCGCCGTCGCCGTCGCCGTCGCCGTCGTCGTCGTCGCCGTCGTCGTCGTCACGTCATCGCCGCCGCCGCAGCGTCCTGCTGAGGCCAATGCTCCGGTGGTCTCCGTCCTGCTGAGCAGCGTTTAACCGGTCCTTGTCCCCACTGGCGTGGCCTGCGCCCCACTGGCCGCTTTACCCCCCCCCTAGATGGGCATGTAGGCCGTTCCCTTCGGGCTTCGAAGGGCATGTCCCACAACCAGGGTGGTGGGATGGTGGGGATCGGAATGGGGATGGGAATGGGGATTTGGGGATCGGTTACACGATACTAATCTGCGGCAACCCGAGGACCGAAGATCGAGGATCGAAGATCGAGGATCGAAGATCGAGGACAGAGGATCGAGGATCGAAGATCGAGGATCGAAGATCGAAGATCGAAGGTCGAGAAACGAAGATCGAGGATCGAAGATCGAGCATATCGAGCATATCGAGCATCGAGTGGCTCTGAGGACCGTGGCTCGAGGAGCGTAAACCCCAAAAATAAAGGCCTGGGGCCTCGAGCATCAGGGCTTCCTCGAGTGAGGCACGGGGACCCAAGGTTCGAGTATGGAGGGTCGAGGTTCGAGAATGGAGGGCAGCATCATCATCATCATCATCAGCATCATCATAAGCATCATCATCATCAACATCAACAACAACAACAACAGCAGCAGCAACAACAACAACAACAACAATTACTAGCACGTGGGGACACACCGTTCTCACCAGTGCCAGGGTTTTCATAGGAGGCGGGCAATACCCCCACTTTGTGGGGGGGCCGGTTCAAGCTCTACCAAATTTCCAAACGACTCTTCGCCACCACCCACACCCAGCTTCCCGCCCTATGACGTTCGGACACTTCACTTCGTGGCATGCGGACGACCGTGGCTACTATTCAGGGCTCCGCGGCCGACGACGACGGCGTGCGCGCGCGAAGAAAAAACGAATGTGTCCCGCATGGTATTATTTGACAGGGATGATGGCCCTGGCAGGTGCGCAACCGTTGTCGCAGAAGTTCGAAAAAGTTGCTCGCAAAAGCCCGTTTGACAGAAATGTTTAAAAAGTGTTGGGTTTCCTACGAATCCGCAAGAGCGCGCGGGATGAGATTTTGACATTTTTTTGTTGAAAAAACATTGGTTTTTTGATGTTTTTATGTTAAAATCGCTCCGAACACTAAGCTTTTGGAAGGATTTCGTCTTGCGCGCGCGAATGTCCACTTTACCTTATTTTTTGCAAGGGATTCTTGAAATTTGATTATATTAGAACAAGAAATGTCATTTTATAGTGTTTTTTGCAAGGGAAAACGGACTACAACAAAACAACCGGATCTTGATCACCTCGAATTACCTGAGGCTTCCTCACGAAAATGATGAAAACGTGGCTGCGGCCTAGGCGCGGCGGGGGGGCGCGCACCAGGGGGCCCAACAATAATTATTCTTTAGAATTAATAATGTTCAACAGCAACAACAACAATTACTAGCACGTGGGGACACACCGTTCTCACCAGTGCCAGGGTTTTCATAGGAGGCGGGCAATACCCCCACTTTGTGGGGGGGCCGGTTCAAACTCTACCAAATTTCCACACGACTCTTCGCCACCACCCACACCCAGCTTCCCGCCCTATGACGTTCGGACACTTCACTTCGTGGCATGCGGACGACCGTGGCTACTATTCATGGCCCCGCGGCCGACGACGACGGCGTGCGCGCGCGAAGAAAAAACGAATGTGTCCCGCCTGGTATTATTTGACAGGGATGATGGCCCTGGCAGGTGCGCAACCGTTGTCGCAGAAGTTCGAAAAAGTTGCTCGCAAAAGCCCGTTTGACAGAAATGTTGAAAAAGTGTTGGGTTGCCTACGAATCCGCAAGAGCGCGCGGGATGAGATTTTGACATTTTTTTTGTTGAAAAACCATTGGTTTTTTGATGTTTGTATGTTAAAATCGCTCCGAACACTAAGCTTTTGGAAGGATTTCGTCTTGCGCGCGCGAATGTCCACTTTACCTTATTTTTTGCAAGGGATTCTTGAAATTTGATTATATTAGAACAAGAAATGTCATTTTCTATTGTTTTTTGCAAGGGAAAGCGGATTACAACAAAACAACCGGATCCTGTACACACCCTCTTTTCTGAGGCTTCCTCACGAGAATGATGAAAATGTAGCTGCGGCCTAGGCGGCCGCAGGGGGGGCCGCGACCAGGGGGCCAACATAATTAGTTTTTAAATAAATAAATGTTTTCAACAACAACAACAAAAACAACAATTACTAGCACGTGGGGACACTCCGTTCTCACCAGTGCCAGGGTTTTCATAGGAGGCGGGCAATACCCCCACTTTGTGGGGGGGCCGGTTCAAGCTCTACCAAAATTCCAAACGACTCTTCGCCACCACCCACACCCAGCTTCCCGC